CCCTACATCAGTATTCTAACTTCAAGCTCATATAAATATTACACAAATATTTCCATCTTTTATTTTACGGTTTTTGATAAAAGTTTCAACATTTTCAAATCTTTTTCAACCGTTATGTGTTTTGCTTCATGATTTACTCAAATTCTAATTTTATAAAAAAAAAATTTAAACAAAAATAATATTTAACAAAGTAATCAAATTAACATAAGAAGTTGCACAACGCGCAACAAGAACCACACTAATTATTACTCATTCCGTCTCAAAATGATCGTTTAGTTTGAAATTTTTATTTTACGATCTAAAGTGGGTAATCATTTTGGAAGAGAAACTAATGAATACTTCAATTATCAAAATGCACCCTACTATTTTGCCGGGAGATAATCAAATTTCCCGTTGACCAAGAGGTTAAGAAGGGTATTAATCTCAAGATGTCTAACTTGATTTAATCATCGACCACATGGTGTATATAAATAGATACAAGTAAATAATCATCGTGAATGATGATGGGTACTAGCGGAAAATATCATCAGATCCGGATGATTAGGAAAGTGATCGTGAATGGTTGCTCATTAATAGCTTGGAGAGCGGCAGAATCAGAAGTCGACGGTACTCTTGTTTTTCTTTTTTATTATTATTGTCGCCAAACACGAAAATATTAAAGAACAGCACAAGTATACCAACTGGGGTTGGCACAAGTGGTAAGCAGCTTGATGCCGCTTAGTAAGTCTCGGATTCGAAATTTTATGGATGCAAAAAACTCTTGTTGGGAGACTCACTCACCACAGGCAGGTGTGCGACTCGGGTCGACCAACGGATTAGTCGGGCAAAGTAGAAACCATGGCAGGCAACCAAAAAAAAAAAAAAAGAACAGCACAAGTATAGATTAAACAAGAAGAAGAAGAAGAAGAGGTAGAAAATGCACCAGTAATTAAGAACTGACTCGTGGATGATTATAAAAACTTTGCACCGACGAGTTGTGAGCCTCGTTGAGCCCTATAAATTGAGCCAGAAAATGGATAGGAAAAGCACACACAATTTCTTCTTCTTTTATGTGATATTAAGCGAATAAATTAAGATGGCCATGGTTAAGTCCTCATCACCATCAATTCCTTTTCTGTTGCTTTTGGTGCTTGCCATGTTACTCTGTAAGTCTCTCTCTCTCTCTCTCTCTCGATTCGTAAAGAACGATTTCTTGGATTTGTTTTTATTTTTTTTCATTGCTGGTTAATTTCGAGTTGATCAATGCTTAATTATTTCCTAAATTGTTTCGTTTCTGGTGGTGGGTGAACCAAAACACATGTTGTATGTGATTCGATATTTTACTTTGGAGTGTTTGACTAGATTTTGTCCTTGCATAAAAAAAAAGTCGTAAAGATTTTTTTGAACAGCTAGCTGTATTCAAGATTGCTTTGGGTTCAAGAAATTCGAAATAGTGCATGCATCATCAAAATCTGTTTTGGTTCATCAGAACCCATATGTATTTCTTTTTGTTTGCTTTTTTTTTTTTTTTTCCTTCTTCTTCTTAACAACACCAAATCTTTGTAATATGTTTACAACAGCAATGGCATCAAAGAGCAAGAGTAGTGATGCTCACTCGAGGGAGCTGTATGGTCTTGGTTTAGGTTTTGATTTTGAAAGTTGGGTCTGAGACGCCCCCACTGCCGCCGCGAACTGGTTGCATTCAGGGTCTCGGATATGGTACCGGTACTTGTAGTTCGGATAGTGACTGTTGTGTTGACAGATCGGTTTGTGACCCAAATGACAAAATCTGTTGTGCCAAACTGGGTGATCCCTGCGGGAGTGAACGCGAATGCTGTCCCATACAAATTGTGCTGAATTTTCCCCGTGGCGATGGTCTATATACGTATCCATCCTGTAAATCCAACAAGTGTTGCGCTTCATTTGGAAACTTCTGCAATTTGGACAGTGATTGTTGCCTGGGTCCCGATAACAAACCAATGAATTGTTATCGATCAGATTTCTATCGGTCCGGATATTGTCGTTATTAAAAGTCTCTGAGGGATTCTCAAGGCTTGAATAAAAATCGTGGATACTCACCATAGAGAGTCGTGAGTACGTAATGTGTCTTTTTTAAATTTGTGTGTAATTTCTTTAAGGGTTTAGTTGTTTGTTCATTGTCGTTCCTGTCTGTGTTTGGAAGGACTCAGAAACTTGATCTTGGCAGCTACCAATTTGATCGACTTCAAAATGTTTTCTCCATCGTATGGACAGTGTCCAATGTTGTATCAGTATTTCAAGTTTAAATGTGTTCAATTTCATTTTGCTGTCATCAATAAAATTGAACTCTCTAGTCCGTGTCTTTGTCTTCCAGTTTCTTGTACATATTTCTTTTTTTCTTTTTTTTTTTTGTCTTCGAAGATTAATAACAAAATCCCCAAATGGATTTAGCCTACTTGTGGAGGTAGATGAGGATATGTAGCAACCAACTTTGAATAAGAAGGATACAGCTAAATTGAGGATGGGAAGGCATAAGGGAAAAGCTGCGATGGTTTCTCCCCCAGATCTAGGTAAAACTGATTAATCTCTTACACTAGGATGTTAGGGGCTCGAAATAGCCCTTTAAACATAAGGAAGTTAGAAGGTTATGTTCATTGCATCAAGTTAGTTTGATTAGTATAGACTAAATTGACAGCAGAGAAATGTTGAGTAAATATTGATAGGGTTTTGATTATGCTATGAATAATTAGAATCATTCGATGGGGGAAATATGCCATTTATCGAACCCCTAGGATCCTGAGAATTAGGGTTATACAACTTAGTGATCAGTTTATACATTGTGAAGTGGATGAATTGCATAGTAGTGGTAAATTTTACTGCACGACAGTTTATGGTTCGAGTTTAAAATATGATAGAGAGTAGCTGGGAGTATCTACAGAAGCCCATGAGGTTCACCTCAAAACCCATAGGCCATAAGGAGAATAGCTCATGGAGCTAGGTTTACCTCAAAACCCATTAACAATGAGGAGAGTAGCTCATGGAGCTTATATATTGATACTCAGAGTCTCCCAACATCGATGTGTGATTTTCGATGTGTGATTGGGACTCTTTAAGACTCCCCTGCAAGCCCAACGTATTTTTGGGTTGGATTTATCCTATTTTTTTTTAGCCCAGGCACTGTTTCATGTCTCATCCATATTTTTTGGTTGGGCTTTTTGGAGTCTGAATATCCGCGGGCTGGCTCTGATACCATACAGAAGCCCATAGGGTTCCATCTTAAAATCAATTGGCGACGAGGAGAGTAGCCCATGAAACTTATATATTGATACTCAGATTCTCCTAACACCGATGTGGAATTGGGACTCTTTAATAATTAGTATAGCTCTAAATAATAACACGGCTTGGATTCCTATGAGAGATTATAATAATGTATTGAAGGTTGAAGAGAGACTGCGCGAAAGAGCGTGGTATGTGAATTTCAAGACATGAAGCAACAAGAATATAAGTATACATGGTCAGATAAACAGATCGGTGATTCAAGAATAAGTTCAAGAATTGTACTTATAAATGGGGATTGACTGATGAATTATTCTAATTCAATTGCCACAGTAATGGCAGAAGGTTGCTTTGATCACACTCATATCCTTATACAGATGGATGGAGGGATGAACACAACACCAAGGCCTTTTAAATTTTTTAATATGTGGTGCCAAGCAATTCCAGAAAATGGTGGAGGAAAGTTGGGCTTATTCAGTAAAAGAAAAGAATATGTATCAACTAGCTGTTAAGCTCAAGAGAAATTAATGTTACAACACACAATTTTCAGACATTCAGAATCAGGCTCAATAACTATTAGGCCAGTTGGCTCAAGTATATGATATGATACACAGCAAACCTGATATGGAAACCTGCATCAGTTGGAAAGAGAGGTATGTCATAAGTATGTTAAATTAAGCAAAGCTCCAGAAAAGCTTTCTTCAGCAAAAAGCAAAGGAGATATGGATAATTTGGGGAATTCATGCACAGCTTACTTACATTCTAGGCTAAGGATGAGAACTATGCAATAAGCTCTATTGTGGAAGTAGAAGGAATGATTAGTGAATGGGAAGTGATCAAAAGCACTTTATTGATTTTTTAAGGCCCAACTAGGGGAAAATAATCTAAGGCCACAGTCTCAGATGAATGTGTCCAAGCAAGGACCAATGCTGCAATGGCAACAGAAGATGAGATTGTTAAGAGAAGTCACTACACAGGAGATTTAAGAAGGCCATGTGGAGATAAATAGCACTAAAAGTCCATGACCTAGTGAGTATGGAAGTGGATTCTATAAGAATAGTGAAAAAGGATTTAGAACATGTAGTCTTGGAGGTTTTTTTTTCAATCTGGCAAGATGTTGCAGCAAGTAAACTCTACTATACTGGCATTGATACCTAAAAATGATAGTCCACAGAATGCCTCAGAGTATATGCCCATTGTATGTAGTAAGGTAATTTACAAATGCATCTCCAAAATCATTCGTATGAGACTGAAGGATGTGCTTCCAAAGCTAAAATAAAAATGTATTTATTTTAACTTTTATCAAATAACCCCAAACTTGAGTATTTACATATGAAACAGAGCATGGTTATGCTTGAAATAGTGGTATGATACTGTGTAAATCAGGTTCAGACACTACTTTTCCACCACTAATCTTCCCAGGGGACTAGTCACCATCTTCAGAAAATGGCACTAAAATGCTAGTGTGTTTCTTGTTCTCTGCTTTCTCCCCTGAACGTATGACACGTTAGTCTGGCATTTGTCTTGATTTCACCCATTGCAGGAACTATTAACTAACCACAATCAACCTATGATTGTATTCAAATAATATAATTCACCACTAGACTCTGTCACTCTTAATAACAACATAAGGCGGGGCCTTTATTTCTAAGCTAAACATACTAATTAAAAAGGCAGGGCAGCTCCATTTCCTTCCATAACTACAAACAACTAATGTTTATAATTACATTCGAAGGTCCTTATGAGATGATGATGTTTATTAATCCTTACACAAGTAACCCTTTCCTGCGAAGAACAGACTCATAAATCTCGAAAACCTCCTTAGGATCAGGAAGCGACTTAGCCACACTCTCCCTTTCCATACATCTTTTAGCCCAAGCCACAATCTTGGGACACTCTGACTCAATCTTGAAGTTTCCGCGGGTTTCGTACGCATAAAACCAGCTGTAGAAAGGAATCAAAACCACATCTAAGAATCCAAACTTGTCCCCTCCAAAATAAGGCTTATTTCCAAGCTCCCCTTCCAGAGTTTTATAAAGTTCTATAAATTTCTTCTTAGCTATCTCTTGCTCTTCTCCCTTCGTGATCCACACATTAATTCCAGCATCATAAGCCTTCATTTAAGTAACAAAAGAACATATATAATTAACAATAAATGAGGATAATCCTAAGCGGAAGTATCTCTTGTTGTTACCTTTTTATCGATGAAGTCAGCCCAAAACCTTGCCTGAGCGCGCTGATGAGGATCACAAGGCAACAACGGATTTTCGGTCGGCCAAACTTCGTCTACGTACTGAACAATGATGATGGATTCACAAACGGGCGTCCCGTTATGAATCAGAACAGGGATTTTCTTATGAACCGGATTCATTTCGAGAAGAAGTGAGCTCTTGTTTCGCAGAAACTCTTCTCTGTATTCATACTGAATGCCCTTTTCAGACAGGGCTATTCTGCATCTCATCCCAAACATGCTCACCTTCGTATCCAACAACGTTACTACTTCATCAGCACAAGCCATCTGTTGTTGTTTCAGAGGATTTTTTGGATACCAGATTATAGACTATAACAGTATATATCTTCCTAGATCTAGGAAGAATTCATGACAAAAATGATGAATAAGAAGTTTGATTTAAGAATGAGAAACACGGTTTTCTGTAGATTCAGAGAAAAGTCAATTTCGTGTCCAGCAAATATATTCTCGTATTTGTACGAAGATGGTTGGTTGGTTTGCTAATGATTCCCGTTTTTGTTTTTCAATAAACAAACAAAAGTTGGGTATCAGAAAACCCACCCAGATTCGTTAAAATATCGAAAACCTCATCATCAATCAACTATCAAATTGGTCTCCATCTCACTCTTTTTTCTTTTCTTTTTTTTTCTCCCCCTTTTAATTTGTTTTGGGTTAGAAAAATAAGATGTAAAACATTTCCATTGTTATCTCAGCAAAACATCCTCCAATTATTGTTCCGTATGAGATTTCACTTTTAGTATAATTTGAACTAAAAATAAAAACATAAATTGGACTATTTTCATCCTCCAATTATTGTTCCGTATGAGATTTCACTTTTAGTATAATTTGAACTAAAAATAAAAACATAAATTGGACTATTTTTTTAGACGAAGGTAGTACTATATTTTACTACGTTAGAACCAGGTTTTTGGGAAGACAAGATCATCATGTGCAGTTGGAAATTAAATTGAACCTCCTATTTCTTGCAACAGTGTGCTGGAAACTTTGGGTTTGGAAACAATATACAAAAGATGATGAGCTTTTTGTAGAGCAAAAATGAACAGAAAGAAAAAGAAGAAGAAGAAAAAGAAAACAAAGATTCTCGGGTTTTATATCATCAAATCAATAGATCATATAAATAATTTCCTCGGACAAAAAATCTCATATTGCGTTTAAAATCATTAACCAAACTCAATATTGGTTAATGAACATTTTGCATTGAACACAACTGTGTAGTAACTTTTTGCTTTCACCTTCTTCTTATCCATTAGTACTACATCTTTGACCTTTTTATCCATTACCCTTCTTCTCCGAGAAACACGATAGAGTTGGACAAAAAAATTTATTGACAATTGACAAATGAAAAATGTAGATTTAATAGTCGGTAGTCGGTAAGACTACTCGTAGCTTAAATGGCAATGGCATTTTTCGAAACCCGCCAACTGTAAAATGAGATATAATTTTGCCTCTTTCCTCCTTAAAAAAAATGCAGGATTATTTTATAATATGATTAAATTTTTTAATTACTGGTTCGGCGCGCGTTATTTTATTTTTTTATTTTTGGAAGTTGTAATTCTAAAGTAGTTTATAGATGGAAAATCATAAATACAGTGATAAAAAATAGTGACTGATATGTAATATTATGACTCTTTATTTTTTCTGCTACTTTCACGGTGAAATTTTATTTTCCTTTCAGAATTGTATTTTTACTCTTAATTAATAAGTACATATACTTATGTGGTTATATTTTTTCTTTTCATAAGTCACTATTTGATGGAGGCGTAGATCAGAATAAATTAGGGTCCATTCAAGAGGTATTTTAGTCATTTTTACTTAGTTGAGATTAGGCTTTATTTTATGTCATCTTTCTTATTTAAAGGCATTAGCCGCCTCATTGTAATTCGGTGGTTGATTGATTTTATAAAAATATTGAGAGTTCTCTCAAACCTAGTTTTCGGTGCTCCATTCATTGGATCAAAGGTCGTAAATTAGTATAATAGTTTTATTTTGTTCCATTGTATTGGTGATTTAAAACTAGTGGTGTTTAGGTTCCGGTCTTTCAACGAACTGAAAGATCGTTAATTGAAAGCATTGTCGATTTCGATTTGTGTTTAGGGTTAACATATAATCGTTAATCGAAGAGATTACTAGTCGCTTGATCATTTGTTGGAGGCGATTGATGGTTTGGTTACTTGTTCATGTTCTTCAATCAATTGATTGGGGTTTTGCTACATCACAATTCCATTTCACTAGAAATTGTCATTGTCCCTATCCCATTTATATCTCGAATTGATTGTTTTGTTTGACTTTTCATTTGTAGTATAAATTGTATTAAAAGTGAAAATCTAAACTGAACAAACAGCTTAAGACAGAAGTATTAATTTAATATATGAAGGACATAACGTAAGTAGGAAGAAAAAAACATTATCAGCAATCAAGAGACTGTATATCTAGTGTTGGATCTGTAATGAAAGAAGAAACTCTTCAATATTGAATTTTATTTGTTCTTCATAAAATAACTAGGAGTATTACGGTACTTCATTTATTTCTATTATAGTGAATCCGATTATTTATGATTAGTTCTATACTGAGTAACTGGGCCGCCCATCCTTACGTATTCGCTCATCCCTGAGTAACTAGGGTTATGGGGTTTGCTTCTATACGTAGTGTATTGAGTTTATGACCTTTCCGCCATAACACTGGTATCAGAGCCCAGGATGGGCCAGTTGGGTAGGTGACTTAGCCCAAATTATCTTGGTTGATCTGACTGAACCAAGGTAATTAAAGGCCCACTACGAGCGAAAATGTAGGGATGGGCGGCCCAATTACTCAGGTGGAGTACAAATTTGGGGTTGTTAAGATAATTTGGAAGCCCGATGTAGAGATTGTCCATGACGGGGGAGAATGTTGAGGGTCATGTGGCAAGGGTTTTGAATCCCACATTGGAGGTATGAGAACATGTGATTCAGTTAATAAGTAAGATAAACTCAGAACCCATTAGCTTGAGTTATTGAGTCTATATGGGTCTTATCTTACTTATTGCGTTGCATATCGGGTTTTCTTTCCTGGATAAATCCCCAACACATTCCAGGATTGAAGCGGAGTGTAGCCAGATATTTGACGGGATGAGAAAAAAATACTCCCTCCAGTCGTTAATATAAGGCATTTTCATTTTGCTTTATCTTTCACCTAATACGCTTTTTTGAAGGACGAAAAACTTTTAAAAATATATTTTCACATATATCGAAATATCTAGATTTTTTTTGTCAATTAAAAATTTGTCCTACATAGTGTAACCACAAATTATAGTTTACATTAATAAGGAAGGAAACAACTAAAATACTTTCTCTCTCTTCATTCTCTCAGCGTACGTTTAGTAACATACGCCAACTATGGCTGGCCAGAAAAGGAAGGAGAAGAAGACGAATTCGAGAAAGACAAATGAATAACAAGTGGATGCGAATCATCTGACAAGAAGATCTCCCTGTGGGGAGAGTTCTAAGGTGAAAGAATTGTCGAGGAGATCCATTCTGCGACAAGAAGATGAGCTCAACCAGTTGGTTGCTGAGATTGAAGGCAAGTCGACAACGACGGAGAAGCATATGGGGAAACAGTATACGCCTCCAATTGTTGATAATTCTTGAAGAGTGGGGAGTCTTAATCGACTTAATGCTGGGTGTCAAACTGGTAATTGAAAGATGCTGTTGAACATAGGGTTTGCAAATAACCCTAGACGGCAGTTGTCATGCAGATAAGGTTGAGAAGGATGAGATGCAGAGGCCTTGTAATCAATTGATTACTGACAAAGTGAATAAGCCAAATGGGAAGCTGCAATTTGTTCCGCCTCAGAAAGTTGCTGGGCAAACAATTTGTCGTATACAAAAGAAAGATGTGCAAATTGAAGCAGATTTTTGGGAATCGTCAGTTGTGTGCTTTGTGGGATCAAATCCCCCAACATGGGTGATGGAGGCACATTTCAGAAAGATTTGGGGACAATTTGGTGTTGACAAAGTGATTCGACTTCCCTCTGGTCTTTTTGTTGTTAGATTCACTAATGTTCATGCTATAGGTGAAGTATTAAATGTTAATTTATACCATTTTTGTTCAAAACCCCTTGTTGTTAATCCCTGCGATACGGAAAAGGGTCTAAATTATAGGGATGTTGAGAGGGTACCTGTTTGGGTCCAGTTACATGGACTTGAGCTTAAATATTGGGTTCTTTCATTAATTAGCAGATTGGCTAGCACAATTGGAAATCTCTTAACTTCTGATGATTTCACTATTAATAGGAGTCGAGTACAATTTGCTAGGGTTCTGATTGACATGGAAATTACTTAGTCAGTCCCAGATAAAATTATTTTTGAGGATGAGAATGGTAATGTCAAAACTCAGAAGGTTGTCTATGAGTGGTTGCTTGTTAGATGCAATTGTTGTAAGGATTATGGTCATTTGGCAGAGGTGTGTAGGACGCAGAATGAGGTTCCTGGAAATAAAGCTAAGCTGGTTCAAACAGATTGGAGAAGGGTTGTAACTAATGATAAAAGATGAACTCAAGCTGAAGCAGAATCAGATAAATCAGGATGCTGAGTAGAGTCCTGTTGTGAAGACTAGCTGAGGTTTCTAATAAGGAGTTGCTTATGAATGATTGTTCACAGGCTCAGGAGAAGGGGGCTGAGATGACAGATAGTAAAACTCATGAGTTAGGAGTTAGCTATGTTAGCAAAGGTACTAAGGACATAGTTGTTGTGTTATCCCAAACTGGGGTGGCCAAAAAACATGTGGATGGATCTACTAATATAGTCAAGACACATGAGGAAAATGGAGTCAGTATAATGGTGTTTCTTGATTCTGGACCATCTTCCCATGTCAAGCATCTTAACGTGGAATATAAGGGGTTTAAACTTTTCCCTGAAACAAAATGAGTTGCAGAGATTTATTAATATAAATAAGTACATATGATTTGTGTAGTTGAGACCAAAATGGTAAAAGACAGGGGTGGAGAAGTATTCAGGTCAGTATTGGAGTAACTGGTTGTGGCTTACAAACTATAGCAGTCACGATAAAGGAAGAATCATGGTGTGGTAGGATGACAACCTTGAGATCACTTTAATTAATTAGTCAGCTCAATTCTTACACTGGCTAGTTATGCTTCGCAAGAATAACAAGCTGTTTTATTAAACGGGAATTTATGCAACTAATGAAATTGAAGAAAGGAAGAAGCTGTGGTTAGATCTAATGGCTACATTGACAAGCCGTCGTCACACTAGCCAAATAATTAATTACCTACT